CTCAATACTTTATGAGAGTTGCAGAAATTACTCTGGTAAGATTAGATGTTTTCATAATTTTATTTTCTTTAGCTAACCATCACTATAAATATACATCTACAATTAAATAAGATATATAAAAAATTCCTACTTCAGAAGACCATTACTCTATTATTATTCCATTCCCTTAAAAATAATAAAATTGTGCCTCAGCTACTAAATATATGGGATTCATTTACAAAAGATTAATTAGCATGACCCTCTGTACCTTCTCACCGAATCCTGTTTCCCAAGGATTCATGTATTCACACATGTTAGCTTCTTGTCAGAAATGCATAAAATTTTACTATGACTATGGTAGGGATGTAATATGTACCCCAGAGAAAGACAATAAATATCAAATTACCCACCAGAAAGATTAAAATTAGGAGCCTGTCCTAGGGCTTGGGGGAGACGGCTCAGCAATGTGGAGCAGAGCACTTGCTGCCTTGCAGGGGATCTAGGCTCACTGTCTGTCATGCACATGTAGCCCACACTATCCTTACCTCCATTTTCAGTGACTCTGATGCCCTCTTCTGATTGGCATATGCACTAGACATGCGCATGGTGCACACACATATATGCAGACAGAACACTCATACACATAAAATAATACAGCCGAACCTAAAAAGAGACCATATTCCAGTGAGCACTACATTTACCATTTACTACATTTGAAATGAACATGGTTTCAGTTAATTGTATGTGCAGTAAGATATGTATCCATTATTATTACCGTCTTCTAATAATATACTTTTGAATAGTAATACAAAATAAGTGTTTGGATCCTGCTAAAATATGTAGAAAGAAATTATTTTTGTTTTAATCACATGTATTGGGAAAGGATGTACAGATATGTGATTTTTAAAAGGTGCAAATGGGCTAGCCAGTTGGCTCAGAGAGTAAAGAATTGAATTGCCCAACATGATTGTTTGAGTTTGACCCTTGGCCCACATGATGGAAGGAGAGAAACATCTCCTGCAAGCTGTGCTTTGACCCAGCATGCCTACCATAGTACACAAGTCCCCCACACACAAATAAATAAGCACTAGTTAATAAAAATATTCAAAAGGGTTGGTTATAGTATCCTCACATAAGAATCTGGTAGCTTATTGCACACTTCATCTTTTCTGCATCTGTAAAATTTTGAGAAAATATTTGCCTCATAAGAAAGATGATTGCATCATTTTTAAGGTCAGTCATCCTGGAAAACGTGAAGGGAGATGACAGGAATAATGTGGCACAGTTTTGTAGCAGAAAAATACAAGGAAGTCTGTTCTTTTTAAAATAAATACTCTTTAAAATTTAAAATAATTGAATTTAGGTTTTAGCCAAATGCCTTTCAGATTTATACACTTTCCTTGCAAAAAAAAAAAAAAGATTTTACCTTTTTCTCTAGATTACATGTTCAATCCTAATTACTTTTTATGGTTGTCTATTATGTGGGACTAACCCAAAGTTATCACCTTATGTTGTAATGCTGTCAAAGGGCTTATTCTTTTTCATAGGGCTCACTGGAGCCTTCATGAAGTGCTCTTTATTCTATACTCTAGCTCCCCAGGAAAAGGGAAACAATCTTACTGCTGTATTTCAAATCATTGACATCCTGACCATGACTTCATTTGCAATAAAAATCAGAAACTGTGCAAGTGCATTTTATAACTCCCCCTTTTTTTTAAGTTTTAGTAAGAAAATGTCTGGTCAACTTTGTGTTGAGAAAGTCATATACTCCCCACATAGTGGAGGCTGTGTGAGGTTGAACAGGCTATCAAGAGTACATTTTACAGCTCATTCCTGGAGTTTTCCTTCCATTGAAATCTCCATGTTTTATTCCTTCATATTCTTTTAGTAAAATATTTAAGCATTCTATTGAAAGTCAAGTGCTTTTAGCTACTATAATTTGTTATTTAAGTAATGCAATGTCCTTGCCAGCCCTAAGAAAACATACATGAACAGAAAATGACATTACTTTTTTCTGATGTTTGTAACCTTGGAGCATCCTTCAGTTCAGCAGGCACAGACTTCTGGAACACTGGGTGTTACAAAGGATCAGGATGCAGGCACTGTAGAGTAGGGAGAGGAATACATATTTCTTTAATGATTGTGTTTTGACTGAACTACCAGATTCCCAGACATTTGGCCAAACATTGCTCTGGGTATATCTGTGAGGGTTCTTGTGGACAAGATTAATGTTTGAATTGGTAGACTAGAACACATTGCCCTCCCAAATGTAGGTGGATTCATAGATCTCTCTGAAAAGCCAAGGAGAAAAAAAAGCCAGGCACACCATGAGTAGGAGGGAATTTCCTTTTGTCTGAATCACTTGAGCTGGAATATTTATACATATAATTTTCTTCTTCTTTCTCCCATGTGCATGAACTCAACCATCTCATCTTGGGCCTGGAACCTGCACAGTTCAAAGTAGAGCCATATTTTGGCTTCTTGATCACAAGACATCAGACTAGGACTGATCTACATGTCTGTTCTCCTGGACGTGAGATGCTGGCATTAAATATCTGTCCACTGTCAGTTCTCCTGAGTGTCTGGCTAGCAGCTGCAAGTTCAGGGAATCTCATCAGTCTCCACAGTCACGTGAGCCAGCACATTGCAGCAGTCCTCTATTCTCTCTCTTTCTTTCAGTACATAGTCAAATAAACATCCAATTGTTTCTCTGGAGAAATCTGGCTAATGCAGTCTCTTTGGAGTGGAATATGGCAACAGATCCCATGTAATTTGCAGCACAATTTTTGGATGATCTGTGTCATATCACATGCAAAATTTTTCTAGATATTATCACTTCAAGAAATCCTGAACACAAATAATAAGTCAGTCTTTTCTGTATGAGTTTACTAATTATTTGAAACAGTAAATTTATGATACAAAGTGGTTTCAATGTTCTTTGGCTTTCTAAATAAAAACATCAAGGTGTTTTTATTAAGTTCAAAATCACCTGGACATAGTTCTTTAAATATCAAGCTGAATGGCTCCTACCTTCTTGGCAATACTTAGTGTTTAACAGTGCAACAGTTCCCTTGTCTACACCTCCAGACTTTCACTTATATCCCTGTGGAAATTTCTGATTAAAAACTATGATCTCCCATCTTGTTTATACAATAAGGAAATATACCATATAGATAACAAGTACATGGTAAGGTTTAGTCATGGCATACATTGGCATGTTTTGTAAAACATACTCTGTGTAGGAATTATGCTAATGAGATTATCTATATGTATTTGAAAATATGTTTCAGCTACATAGCTTTAGCAACCATCTATTATTATCGTATTATTACCAGATACAGAAAATTAGCATTCTCTGCTCTGTCAATGTCATTTTTTCAGGGTCTTTTGGTTTTCTTTCATTGTAAGGTTGTGATTGACTTTGAAACATTTACTCAGACTGAGGTCATTTGCACATTTTCAAATTTTCCTTGCATGCACAATATAAACAGTTGTAATAGAAATTAGGTCAGGAAGAAATGTATACATTGTTTAACAAATCTTTTAACTTGGTGATATAATATCAATTTTAGGTACAGATTCTCTTATGTCACAGAGAATGAGCCATTCACTTCCAATTTTGTTTATGTTTTCTAATAATAAATAAAAGGAAATTCAGCTATAATTTATAGCTGTAAAATCTGTCTAACAGTTAAGTTAGACAAAACTTATAAGATTTAACAGCTCTTACTCTGAACAAATGAATGAATGTCCTAAGATGTAGGTACGGGTGTAAAACAAAATGAGGGAGAGATTAAAGTGACAATGAGGAGTTAGTAAACCACAGGGGACCTGATACTGATACAATGACTATAAAAGCAATGTGTATAAAGTCAGAAATATGTTCCTTCCTTTATATATTCAAACACAGAATCCATAAGATAAGGCAGCTTTATCTGAGAAAATAAAGTGGACAAGTCAAGGCCTATGACACATTGATAAGAGAAGTTGTGTGGGAACAAGAACCAGGGGTTATTTTGTGAAGTGAAAAACAAAACAAATTTGATTCTTTTTATAGACACTCTAGAAGTATGGAGATTCTTATAGAGACTTTTAATTTCTCAGTGTCTTTTTTTAAAACAATCTAATATAAAGCTTAAGATTTTCTTGAATGCTTCAGTTAGTGTGATGAAAACAAAGGAAAAATGTTAAT